ACCTAATTCTCCTATACCATATGTCTCTGGACTGTAGGGGGAAACCGTAGCACCCGTAGGAAACCTACACAAACGCAGGGAGAACATTGAAACTTCAATCTGCCCAGTTGGTGGAATGAACTCCCTAACTGCATCAGAACGGCAGAGTCACTCGCTGTCTTTAAAAAGCGACTAAAATTTCAACTATTTAGTCTCCACTTTCCTTACTAATATGCAACTACCTCTCTGACTACTCAACTAACTACAAAAAAAATAAAAATAAAAATACTAATGCTTTCCTTCTTAGACTTTACACACCTGAAACTTGCCTACAGCACTTATTCATTGTTGCTCTTATACTGTAGTTGTGTAAATTGCGTCCTTGTCCTCATTTGTAAGTCGCTTTGGATAAAAGCATCTGCTAAATGACTAAATGTAAATGTAAACTCCACACAGAAATGCCAACTGACCCAGCCGAGGCTCGAACCAGCAACCTTCTTGCTGTGAGGCGACAGCACTACTTACTGCGCCACTGCGTCGCCAAAAGTCTTACAAAAGTGCATCATTTAACGAAATAATAAACCATGGCAGTACGGTGGCTCGCTGGTTCGAGACCCGGCTTGACCAGTTGCAAATTCTGTGTTGAGTTTGTTCTACCTGTGTTCAAATGGGTTTCCTCCGGGTGCTCTGGTTACATTTTATTTTCGGTTTTGGCCCAATCCCTAGATTGATCATATATTTAGCTTGAAATGTGCTCATGCCATTTAAAATTTTATTTACTATCTATGATATCATTCGTACAGTGGCTTAGATATAAGAATATGTTTTTCATGGTCAGTTTATATTTAATAAGTTGTTATTATTCTCTAAACGATACTGTAGATGAAAGAGTCAAGAACAACACCACTAGTGGATTTCTGTGTCAGACGTTCATTGCATTTCAACTTGACTGTAAAGTCTTAAAAGTACTGTAGCTCGCAGCTGTTAACCTTCAGCTTACGAAAACAGCTTTTTTTTAATGAATGCTTGATGTCCTTCTCTTTTGAGCTCCGTCAGACCATATTAAAGCTCCTTTGATACCAAGGCAACCAGGAAGGACAGTCTGGTCCTTTCTCGTATTTTTCAAGCGAGTCAACAACACAAAGACCTTCAGATAGACTGATGATTGTCTTCCAGAAGCCGGGGCAGAAGGCAGCGTTTTGTTTGATAAGCAGACTGACGCTTGAAGGGTGTTTGGGTTGGCATGTCCATGTCCTGATTAGAATCAGGACTGAAAATTTATAGCTATAGGGTCTTCCTCATGTGTACATGTATGCATATTGGTGGTTCATCTGTAATTATTCACTTAGCCTCAACTTGCAGATGGAGCCAATAACCTTAATGTCCCACCGTCCTTTGTGTGCAAACAGAACGTCATGTTGATTAATAACAAGCCAGCCGAATGTTCTCTTGTGTGCTTGCATGTGAGATTAAGGGCATGTTTGGTGATATGAAATCTTGGTTTTTATTTATCAGGACATTACTGCATATACTGATCATGGATTTTTGACATACGTGATAGTGTGATGATACAGGATTTCTCAATTTCTGGGGCAAATGTTGGAAAAAATTTGAACTTTCTGGCTTCTCGTTGATCATGTAAAAAAAAAATAAAAAATTAAGTTTAGTGGCGTCTCTGATCTTACGACTTTCTTTGCCTGCACTAAAAAGATTTGGTATAGAAACTCGTTTACGACATACATTGCAGGTATATTTTGCAAACAGATAATAAGAAACAAGTAACATGGTTATTTGAAGTATTAAAAGTCAGTCATACTTTACCCAAAGCTGAAAATTATATAATCATTTATTTAACCTTCATTTGTCACAAGTGATATGTTGTTAGAGTTTCTTTTTTTTCCATTATTTTGAAAAATGTTTGAAGGCTACAACAGTTGTCTTCCATGGTATTTGCTTTTCCTACCATGGGTGTCAATGGTACATGGTTTCTAACATTTAAAATATCTTCTTAAACTCATAAAGGGTTAGAACTACTTGAGGGAAAACAAAACATTTAAGTACTCTAATCTTCATTTTACTATTATTTACCATTTTTAAAAAAAATGATTTAACAAGTATTTTTTTTTTTACTAGTTTACAAGTATTGCTTACCAGTTTAGTAATGATTTGATCAGCTATAGTTAGAAATTACGTGTAGTTTTTCTCCTCTAAGGGCTTATTATGTGGTCTCTGTCGCCATCTTGTGGATGGACAACTTCAACCATCTTTGCTGTGCTTAATGACAGGCTGGTGACTGTGTCTCCAAAAGTATAAATATTTAAAAATAGGCACTACCATTATAAATAAACTGCATAGTTGCAATCAAAACAACTACATGCTTGACTAAAAACGCCTTAAAAATATGTTGTCCAACAGTAGCAATATTTGTCAAACTGTAGAGCAGTGGTGCTCAACCCTGTTCCTGGAGATTGACCTTCCTGCAAAGTTCAGCTCCAACCCTGATCAAACACACCTGAAACAGATTAATTTGGACCTGAACAGCACTTGATAATTACAGGTAGGTGTGATGTGCTGGAAGGTCGATCTCCAGGAACAGGGTTGGTCACGCCTGCTGTAGAGTGTCCTCTGCTTGTTGCTGTATGTGGGTGGAGTAATACACAAGGGTAAAGGGTTAAGAGGCTGGACGGATGCTGTTATTTGCAGAATATTGCACTGCTATTAGCCAATCAGCTTCAAGAACCAGACAGAATGTTCTATATAATAACTTTTATTTAAGCCAAACTAAGTTAACTTTCTCCATAAGAAAAAAAAAACCTTTTTTTTTATTTAATTTTATTTAATTTTATTTATTTGCTAATGATTCGAATTCCCCAGGCTAATAATTTTGTCTTCATCTGTACAATAGGCATGCAATAGCCATTACAATCTTTATGAAATAATTGTTGTATTCTGAGCTATTTTAATCATGTTTATTGTCATTTTTAGACTACCTAGAATATCTGCTTTGCTTTAAAATCATCCTTGGTAACAGAACAGCTCCTCTAATTGAAGAATCACCCGTGTATTCACCTGTTTTGAGTATCTGTGCCTGTTGCTATACCAACACCTCACAAATTCCAGTCTTTGTGCGGAGAAATATTGCAATTGTCACACTCCTCATGAAACAGAGAGCCTGGAGGCTAAAAAGAGCATGAAAGACATTTTAGTATTCCGTGCTGCGTGTTGTATCTCTCTCTTTCTCTCTCCCCCCTCTCTCTCTCTGTATGCTCAGCATTGAGAGAGTAATGCCAAAATTGTCATCCTTTGTGAACTCACTGAAGGGAGAGATACTCTGCGGAAAGAGACAAATAGACAAACAAGGGCTTTTGAGAAATAGGAACGGGGAAAACTACACAGAAGTTTCCGAGGAAGCTGTAATACAACAGATATGCTCCGTGGAGAAGCTGGATATTTATTTCCCCCTCAGTCTCTTTTATTCTCTCAGAGCTTAGTGTATATGTGCCTGTTTCTTTAAGCAGACACGCTCTAATATGCTCTAAAGCTCCCCACAAATGTTTGTAACAACAGAAGATATGAAATGTTTTCTTATTCACTGAAAACATTTCATATCCTTCCTTTCAGTTCTTTGCTATATTTATCATATCGCATGTATATATTAATGCAACTCTAAAATATTTAATGACCAAACACAGTTAAAATTCAGTTTTTTTTTGTTGCTTACTGTTTATTCCAGTCAAATCCTGTTTGACTTTCTTATTTTTTAGTTTTGACATTAAACAACAATTATGTTACAGAGTGCAGAGTTGATATTAACCTTTACAAAAGACAAAAATACATTAAAATGATAACAAAAATGTGACCCTGTGTGCTATTTTGAATGCTATCTGAAGTCATGTGATCTAGAACAGGGGTTTTCAAACTGTGGGTTGTGACCCATTAGTGGGTCGCACTGTGAGGAAAGGTGGTCGGCAAAGTCACTTAGCTACAGCTATATTTACGTTACAGTGAATCAAAACCAGTATGAAAATGACCAAATGACTCTTTAGAGATGAGTCTGTTTTTCAAATGAATCATTTAAGTTAAAACAAATGAGCTGGAACAATCTGAATCAGCACACATTTACACACACACACACACACACACACACACACACACACACACACACACACACACACACACACACACACACACACACACGCACACACACACACACACACTCTTACACTACGGACAATTTAGCCTCCCCAGTTCACCTGTACTGCATGTCTTTGCACTGTGGGGGAAACCGGAGCACCCGGAGGAAACCCATGTGAACGCAGGGAGAACATGCAAACTCCACATAGAAACGGCAACTGAGCCGAGGCTCTAACCAGCGACCCAGCAACCTTCTTGCTGTGAGGAAACAGCACTACCAACTGCGCCACTGCTTCGCCTAAGCTTTTTTTAATCATTCAAACAAAAAAAAAGTTCTGATTTAAATGCATATTAAAAGTGGAAAAATTTATAGAATATTTTGAGGTTTCAAGCATAATTACATGATTTAATCTGTATAATCACATTAATTAATGTGTAAATCTACTGTAATAACCTGCATAATTACAGTAATAATCATCATCATCACAATAATAAATTTGTATACTTGCATTAATAACCTGTATAATTACAGTACAGTTATAATCTTTAAAATCACATAAATTAAAATAAAATGTAATATAATAATGTATATTTACAGTTATAATTTGTAAAATGAAAGCAATAATCTGTATAATTGCTGTAATAATTAGCAATAATGCCAGTAATCACTGTATGTAATGAACTGTAATTTAATTAATTTTGTAAGTATGTTCTGTAATTTAAGTCTTTTCAAGTAATTTTGTTAAATGGTGATTTTTTTACAGTGTATTTAAAAAACTATTATAACTATTTATGTTCATTTCAATGTTTGAATGTGTGTGTTTGCATGTGACGGTGCTGACCTTTGGCTGATTCTTCCCTCTCGCTGTGTTTTCTTCTTCCTCAAGGCTCCTACATGATGGTCAACTCCTCCCAGCATGCAGCGGGGCAGAGGGCTCAGCTTTTGCTGCAGACGTTAAGTGAAAACGACACACACTGTGTGCAGTTCAGCTACTTCCTGTACAGCAGAGACGGCCACAGCCCGGGGGCGCTGCGGGTTTATGTGCGGGTCAACGGCGGGCCGCTTGGCATTCCGGTGTGGAACGTCTCTGGCTCCCGCGGACGACAGTGGCATCAGGTGGAACTGGCAGTCAGCACTTTCTGGCCAAATGAGTACCAGGTGAGCAACATAACAAATCAGGGAGCATTTCTGGTTGATTACACAGTACAGGATGTTTGTAAGTTATTCTTGCTTTCTGACAGTGATTGATGATAGATGCAGAAAAAATTGACAAGTTCAAAGTCCCTGTGAAATTAAAAGAAAGTTTGTTTAGATGCTAGCATTAGACCCAGCTTGTTTTAAAAAAGATGTGTAATAGATGTCTAATAGACTTCTAAACAGTCATCTTGGCTAAAACAAGGCAAAATTTGGAACATCTAATAGACGTCTAAGAATAGGCCAAAACTAGACTAGTCATCAAATAAACAGAAATGAATGAGTACACATGTAAAGTCTGTCTAATCTGTCTATTTTATGACTAGTCTAGTTTTGGTCTATTCTTAGACATCTGTTTAACTTTGTTTAATTTTGTTTTGCCAAACTGTCTACGTTTAAACGTCTATTAGACATCTATTAAACACAAACTTGTTAGTTGGGCAATGTAAGTCTTAAATCTATCTATCTGTCTATCTATCTATCTATCTATCTATCTATCTATCTATCTATCTATCTATCTATCTATCTATCTGTCTGTCTGTCTGTCTGTCTGTCTGTCTGTCTGTCTGTCTGTCTGTCTGTCTGTCTGTCTGTCTGTCTGTCTGTCTATCTATCTATCTATCTATCATCTTATATATATATATATATATATATAAGCTAGTGTGCTCCAAAACAGTGATTAAAGTTGCAATAATAAAGAATAACCATCCAAAGTTTGAAGTTTGCCTAAATGGATTGATTATTTTTGGACGTCACATCATACTTTAGTTTTTCATTAAATCTTCAGACCAATCAAATGCTCTATATTATCTGACATGTCCCATCACCTTCGAGACACTATTGCTATATGTGCTTGATTTGAACTACTCTCACTGGCAGAGCTTTGATAAAAACAAACGCTATTGGATGGTTTTGGAAAAAGGGTGAGGGGCTACTCTGATCACTGTGTCTTCATTTTTCAAAAAATACACATTTCAAAGCACTTTGCAGGACCTTTAAGTGTTTTATTTATTAAATAAAAGATTCCAGTGTTGGTTATTAGATGAGGGTAGTCAATCCATTTGAAGGGTCCAGTGTAAATGCTGTGGAATATATGGTACTGTACCATGATGACCCTACTAGCCCGAATATAAATGTAAGTAGCCTAAATAGAAAATACATTATTTATTAAATTAAAACAAAAACATACATTTACATATAAGCATACAAAAAATCTAATGGCGTTTTAGTGGCTTTTTCCTTTATTCAACAACAAGTGGATTTATTGTTGCCATATCAGCAGCGCAGCACATCCATAATTAGCCAATAGGTGAAAGTTGGCCATTGGTTGTTCTAAGATGATGATTAGTTTGTTCACAGTAGTTGTAAATTTTTCCAAACTTGTTATTAACTGGCCCAAGTGAGTCATTAGTTGTTAATGTGTCAATATAAAGTCTAAATTAGTATTTAGATGACCTGAGAGAGTCATTAGTAGGTACAAATTGGTCATCAGTTAGTCTAATTTGCTTACTAGTTGGTCCAAACAGGTATTTGACTAGTTAAAACTTTTCAATCACTAGTCTAAGATTGTCATTAGTTAAATAAAGCTGGAGCAAACTTTCTACTGGACACTACACTAATGGACAAAAGTTGATCATCATATCTAGTTGATCATTTGGTATCAGAAGTCGCTTAAAGGCAAAGACCTCTAGATTACAATTTTTTAACCGAAATAAAATATGATAATGTACAGTATATAATATAAAGTCATGGTGCAGTGGAAAAATAATTAATATTTTGCGTGACTCCCATTAGCTTGGATGACCGCATCCATACATATCTGCAATGACTCAAATAACTTATTAATAAAATCATCTGGCATGGCAAAGAAAGCGTTCTTGCAGGACTCCCAGAGTTCATCAAGATTCTTTGGATTCATCTTCAATGACTCCCTCATCTTACCCCAGACATGTTCAATAATGTTCATATCTGGTGACTGGGCTGGCCAATCCTGGAGCACCTTGACCTTCTTTGCTTTCAGGAGCTTTAATGTGGAGGCTGAAGTATGAGAAGGAGTGCTATCCTGCTGAACAGTTTGCCTCCTCCTGTGGTTTGTAATGTAATGGGCAGCACAAATGTCTTGATACCTCAGGCTGTTGATGTTGCCATTAGTTCTGCAGTTCTCTTGCAAGCCCCCCATACTGAATGTAACCCAAACCATAATTTTTCCTATACCAAACTTGACTGATTTCTGTAAGAATCTTGGGTATTTGTTATGATTGAGATGCAGTTCAACAGATGATTCATTGGAAAAATCTACCTTCTGCCACTTTTCCAAATGATTAACTAGAAGTCAAGTTATTATTTGTTACTCTTACAACTGGGCTTTGCGGCAAGACTTTTGTCAGGTGGTGTAGTTTGTGGTGGTCAAATCAGTTTTAGAACATTGTGGCTGGGCAGATATGTGCAATTTCAGTTTAAAAAAGATTCTATGCTAATTGCTTAGTAAAGTGTTCCACAAAATAACAATTTGACTGACAGTGGATGTAATCTCATTTGCAGGGTTGGTAAACTGGTTTTTAACTGCGTGCCTATAAAATCACTTTGACATTAAGATAGTATATCAGTGCTCCAGCAACATTAGTGTACACAGACATCTCTTTTCCTCACAACAAATAGCATTGCACAACCAATGATGAACACTAGTGTCTTATTAGTCATGCCCCCTGCGCTTTTTAATTAGCATTGATCTCAGCATGAATGTAGGTTAGTGCTGGAGGGATAGACAAACCCACGACATAGACAAAGTCAATAGTGTTGACACATCTTACTCGACTAGTAACCTAATTTCTCTACTGTACCATTACGTATGAGACACAATCATTGCTTATGGAATGACAGCTGGTTCACGCCCCCCCCAAGCCAATCGATTGGTGTTAATTGTTGGTCCACCATTGGGTTGCAGGCGGCTGTAGAGGTGAGAGTGGCCAGGCTCAGGGGGCTTCATCCATAAATTCAATTTCTCCTTTCTGCAAACTATGCGCAGCTGTCAGAAAGCAATTAAGTTGAGTAGTGTTCACTTTATCGAGAACTGTCAATCTCTCCAACCTAATTAACTTTCACATGCCGGTGCAAAGATGTGGCCTTCATGTGTAAATAATGGTCCTCCCGCCAGTCAACAAGATGTGAAGGTGGAGGGGACATGACAATAGGGGGAATTTGTTTTGTTTGTGTGTCTACATGGTTGATTCAGTGTTGCTTTGAGTTTTGATTTTTTTTTTTTTTTTTGTGAAAACCAAGAAATGTGGTTGGCTAGTGTGACCCCATTGTTCTTTGTCTGTTTGTGGAATGCAGTTGGGTCAGTAATAATTAATGTTTTACCATTAACTTTGTTTTTTTTTAGTAATACACTTAAATTTTGGCAAACAGATGGTAACACCAGATTAAAATTTGTAGCTTTTGATGTTTGATGTTTGATCTAAAGAACTGTAATCGCTCAATCAATGGATGGAGTCAGTTGTGTGTAAACATGTCAGAGGAGTGGACATCATTGTGGCCAAAAGTAAAGTTAAATGCAAATTTTCTTCCCAAGAGCTTCCTGTTGCCAGAGAACTTATGTGGACAGTTAATACAGCGTTAATTAGATACTGTGCTTCGTATGAAACTTAACAGGCAGCTACTGTAGAAAAGACGAAACTGGGGTGATATGATCATATTTCCCTGACCTGGTGAGAACAATAGCAGCTGCATTCTAGACTAACTTTAGCTTTTTTTTTTTTTGAAGATTCAGGACAACCAGGATGCCATGAATGCATGAACTAGCTTTCTGTGTCAGAAACAGACAACATGTTCCATAGTTGGATGGCTGTTTTATTTCATTTTATTTTTTTTATTTTTTTATTTTTTGGAGGATGAAGTATGAGGAGTCTAAATCCAAACTGTATCCTAAAAGATTTTGGTATACAGATTTTTGGTTCAATGAGAATTTGAAAGAAAAACGTACTGCTCATCCATTCTTTTAAATCATTAATACCATTAACTTTGTTAATTTTGATATTTATTGTGGTCTTTGATGAAACATGTAGCTAATATATAGCATAACAGTGAAACTAACCTCATTTTTTTAATGCCAAATTGTAAGCAAATATATTGAAAACCAGAAAGGGCCTAATACAGATCCTTGTGGCACTCCAAACTTTTCTGCTTTTAATTTGGATGATTTCAATGAAATAATTAAAGCTGCAAGCAGCGATGAAAGGGAGCTCGCACCACGGCTCGCTGCTCGGTGGCCTCAGGATCACCAAGAATAGTGTACAATAATAGTTTAAGCTGATAAATATAAAATAAACCTGAGAAAATCACCGATTTATGCCAAACTTTATCTTGTCAGCAGGTGGTGCTATGACTGTGACTCAATATTTGCTCGTAGATGTCTTTAGAAGAGGAATCTCATCGAACGTGAATTTTCAGGCAGATCAGACATTGTGTGGCTGCGTTATAAATACGTCCTTCTCCATGATGATATACTAAAATTTGTCAGTCCACCATGGGCACACTCTTCATTGAAAACTCTAGATCTTTACAATTTAACATTACAAAGGGCTTTGGATTAGACTGAAAGAATTTGTTTTTTGGAGTTTAGAGAATTTGGAGTTTGTTACAGTGTAAAACATATTGTTTCCTGTCTCCAGCAGGTGACACTATAACTGAACTTGAATAGTGGCATGTAAACGTGTTCAGGACATGACTCATTAAACATGTGGATTTTGGGGCAAAGCAGACAAAGCATGTCTGAGTTATAACAACTTCGTGATCATAGCAAAACATCACATTTTCCGAAGCCACCATGGACACACCCTTCGACGAAAACTCTAAATCTTTGCAATTTAACATTGACCTGTAGATGACAATGCCCATCTTTAGTGTTAATCTGATAAAATCTTGGAGAAGTTCGTTAAAATACAACACCTGGAAACGTAACTTTT